TGCGTGCGTGCGTGCGTGCGTGCGTGCGTGCGTGCGTGCGTGCGTGCGTGCGTGCGTGCGTGCGTGCGTGCGTGCGTGCGTGCGTGCGTGCGTGCGTGCGTGCGTGCGTGCGTGCGTGCGTGCGTCCGCGCGTGCGTCCGTGCGTGCTCGCGCGCCCCGCCCGCCCGCCCGACCCCGAGCCTCTCCCGCGCCTGCGCGCCCCGCTGGGGCCGCGATCGCCTGCCGGGGGACTGGGGGCCGCGTGGCGGCACGCCCTCGGCGGCGCGCCCCGGGGCCGCGTGGCGGCACGCCCTCGGCGGCACGCCCTCGGCGGCGGGCGGCCCTCGGCGGCGGCCCTTGGCGGCGGACGCACGATTGGGGGGGAGGGGGGGGGGCGATGCAGGGCCCTCGCTCCTCCTCGCTCCTCCTCCTCCTCCTCCTCCTCCTCCTCCTCCTCCTCCTCCTCCTCCTCCTCCTCCTCCTCCTCCTCCTCCTCCTCCTCCCCCTCCTCCTCCTCGGCGGGCGCGGCGCCAGGCCCTTGCGATTGGGGGGGCGATACAGGGACCCTTCCGGTCCGGCCTGAACAAGGAGCACATGCTTTTCAAAAGGGGCTCGGCCGTTCCTCTGGTCTGCATGAAGTTCTGCTGCCTCTGTGGCGGCGAGCCCCCCCCTGGTGTTCCTTCGGACTTACCAGATCTGCTTGGAGAAAAAAGGGCTCCGCTCCTGATGTATCGTTGCTTTCTAGGCCAGGCCGAGTGCTGCAAGGGGGGGGGCAGCGAGGGCTGCAGCAGAGGGGCCCTTTTCAGAGGCGACGACGGGGGCGAATAGCTCAGGGGAGAGCAGAACGTGTATCCAGCGGTGCCGATGATCTGTGCCTCCGACGAGGCTCCCGGGCGAACGCGTGCAATGCCCGACCCTGGGCTATTCGCCTCTGTCGTCGCCGCCGCCCCTCGGCCCCCCCCCAGCGGCCGCGGCGAGGGCCCGCGGCCGCGCGCGCCGCGGGCGCCGCCAGGGCCCCGCCGAGGGCGCGGCCGAGGGCGCCGCGGCGGCGCGGCCGCCCGCGGCGCGGAGGCTGCAGCTGCCAGAGGAGGCGCTGGTCGAGGCCGTCCGCACGGCCCGCCCGGCCGTGGGTCGGGGCGAACGGAAGGGGGGGGGAGTTACAGTCGGCCCTGATTGGGCAGGGCACGCGAGAGTCGGGCGCGGAAAAGAGGGGGGTGATGACTAGGGGGGGGGTGGATCTCATGGCGGGGGCCATGACATTTCCTCAGATTTCATGGCGCCTCTTCTTATTTCGTTACGTCCCTTGCCCCCCCGCTGGGCCGCGCACATGCCGCCGGTCATGATTTGCACCCCCCCCTCTTGGACACCCCCCTCTTGGCCGCTCCCGAGAGAGGGAGGACACAAGACCCTTCCGAGGGCCACATCGCCACAGGAGTGTAAGAAGGCACGTGCCGCGAGGCACATGACACAGGGGTACCCTTGAGCTGGCAGGGTCGACCTACTAATCCGGGCCGACTGTAGGGAAAGGGTGGGGGTACGAAATCTGCTGCAGGCAGCTGGTTTCGGCCCCGCCGCCGGGCGCACTCCTCGATGCATGGGCGCGCCTCCCGGCGCCGGGAGGCGCCGGGAAACTCAGCTACGCGTGCTGACTCTCGGCCCCCCCCTGTGCTATCCCCCCCTTTCGCCGCCCGGCCCGACTGGGGGAGACGGGTCCTGTCGGAGGCCGATCGGGGGCGGCCAAGAGGGGGGGGGATGACTAGGGGGGGGAGATCTTTTGGCGGGGGTTCCTCCTCCTCCTCCTCCTCCTCCTCTTCCTCCTTGTGTAGGCCGCATGGCCTCGCACTGTCTTTCTCGCTCGTGGCTGTCCTAGCCGTTCTACGTGTCCCGTCGCACGGCCTTTGGTTCGGACCAAAGAAGCCGCAGGGGTGGTAGCTCTGTCGGCGACCGTGGCATTGGGAACTCAGCGGGCCCTCTGGAGATCTCTGTGGGGGGAAACCCCCAAATATGGCGGGGGCTTTGATGTTCCAAGCTTCTCTAACCTTGATCACAAGAGGTAATTTCGAGCACCAGGAAAGTACCGCAGCGAGATGGTTTTCACGTGTCGTGGCTTGGGATGCGATACTCGTTCGACACGATACTTCTCGGGGCTCTACGATGGGAGCAACATAAGCGGGGGCCATGATATCTCCGCAAAATTCGTGGCGCCTCGTCTTAT